TTGAGAACAAAATATTGTAAAACCAATTTTCAAAAAAAGCTAATAAAACATTTTGTATTTGCTTTTTCGAAAATTGTATTCTAAAAAAATGTCTCAAAACTGAAAAATAATTTAAAACTATATATTTTATTCGTCAATTAAAACACGACAACTGTGTTTTTGTTTTAAAATTTAATTTAGTTTGAGTTCAATAACTGTTGTTATCTAGTTGACTGCTGTTACTGAACCAAATGCTTTTTGCTGCTGTTGACGTTTTTTTAATACAAGGTCTATATTCACTGTAAGTTTATCAATAGAAGGTCTTATAAAGCTGCATATATATCCTAGGTATCCCACTAAAACTTACAATTACCCAATTGTACACTGTAATTACTTAAAAAAAGGTGAAAAAAAAAAGTTTTTTTTTTTCCTTTTTTTTAATTTTACTATCATATTTATCTATTATGGAGAGATAAAAGGTAATCAAATGTTGACGTAACTTTTTTTTTTTTTTTAAATTGTTTTTTAGGTGCCCCAAGAAGACCTAACCGTCTTTGTCACAGAGTATAGCGGAAGTGCATTTAACCGTGACGCGGAAATATGTCCAGAGCTCGTTTCGAACCAGGATCTCCTACTTATATACGTGAAAACATAAAAAGTTTGATTTTTTTAACTCTAGCATACAAACCAGTTTTTAAAAATGTTTTTAACAACGAAATACAAAAAAAAAATTTGATTAAAAAAGCTTAATCAAACTTACACCATTGATACCAAACATCTTTTCAATGTTTTTGTTGATAGTTATAAATAAACACCTGAATTATAAATAATACGAAAAAAATTGTTTTGGGTTCATACTAAAATTTATATCAGGGTTTGAATCTACATATCTTACACGCAGATTCCAATCCAGTATCTAAATCCAATATATAATAAAATGAGTTTTTATCCATGATTCTAATAGCTTTCTTAACGGATCTTGAATCAAGATTCCATAGTTTTAGTACAAGAGTCCGAAATTCTTTTTGGTCTTTATAATTTGTGATTTAAAAAAACACATTTCAAGTTTAAAGCTATCGACAGAGAACCGTTTTCTGGGTGCCATACTTAATTTCAGTCTTTGCTTGCATTGCTCTTAAAAAATATGATAAAATTTATGAAAAACCCATGGCTTTTGCATAAGCTTTGAATTTATAGAAAGTTTTTTGATTATAACTGTTAAACAACCAAGTGTAACAAAAACATCAAAAATGCCACAAGCTTAAAACAAATAAGTAAAGATTGGTAAAAATTTAATGCCTACCTCATCTAAAAATAAAAATAACCACCTGGTAAACAAGTTTTCAGTCAAAACTTTATACTAAGTTTATACTCTAAATGTTTAATGGCTTCACTCTCTATCACTAAAAAGGTGAAATATGTTTTTGATTTTAAAAACAAATTAATTGTTTTATATTATATTAAAATCTAAAAAAATTATGAAAACTTTTTTGTAAAATCTAAAAACTATTAAAAAAAAAAAACTTATTATCCAAAATTATTAGAAAAAACCGAAAATAAAGAAGCGCTGAAAATATGGAACGCAATTTAAAAAAATTATTGAAAAATTAATAAATGTAAGACGCATGCAATGAAAAACATGTGGTTGATAGTAAATCAATCTGTAACAAAAAAATATATAGCCGAGAAATCAAACAGTTTTTTTTTTATTATTATTACTCGAATTTAGCAGCAATTATCTAATTGAGCTCTTTAACATTTGATTCTTCCAACAAATATACGAATGAATAAAAACTAGAATTAAACAAGTTACGTAGTGTTTTATTAAGTCTAAAAAGAAAACGAGCCCAAGTTTTGAAAAAATTAGCATCAATTTTGTAAAACATAACTTTAATATAATTGAACCATCTTTTTACACAATTTTTATCTGTCGCTGAAATCAGGGAACGTTTCTGACTAACTAAAAGTTGCAAGAGAAACACTCTTAAAAAGTTTCAAACCTGGAGACGAATCTAAACCTTCTAATACTCTACGTTATTACCAACCTCCGCAACGGACTATATAATCAATTAATTGAAAAAAAATTTAGTTAACCTTAGCAACAACCCTAGCCAAATATTACAAATTTGGGCCGGGTTATTGTTACAAAAACGTGCCTAAGTTTACTTAGGTAGGTATATCTTTGTATTCAGGACATATCTTTGTGGTCTTCCAAATAACTTTTTATTTGAATAACTAAAATTTAAATAGACGATTTGTGATGATTGGTATACCAATCATCATTTTTTCATCAACTTATGCTTTAAAATGTTACTAAGCAACTATATAGTTGCTTAGTAACATTTTAAAGCATAAATTCAATTAAATAGAATTCAACGTGCAATGTAAAAATGGGTAAATAATCTGACAATTTAGCAAAAAAATATTTAAAGTTATAAAAATTATTAGATAATTCAATATATTATCAATATAATTAAATTTCTTTATTATTATTTTTTTTAATATTTATAATTTTTAGTAACTGTAACTAGTTTAAAATATTTTTTTTATTTGTCACCAAATCAAATCATAAAAAACCTTTTTCAACTATCGGATAAAACTTTAAACAAAAATTTCATCATTTTGATAACTAGAATTTTGAAGATTGCAAATCACAAATAAGGCAACGAGGGATTATATTGACCAGTGGGTAACATTGACACGTGTCATTACATTCGTTACATATTTCGTTATTATAAATACATCGTGTATTATATACACGCTATTATATACATGTGTATTATATACACGTATCGTTATATTAAAAGTTTTTAACAGTCACCAGTTGACTATTGTTTAACTTATTTTACCCGAGGCGATAGTAATTGTAAACATAAATAACGACACTGTACCGCGAACACAAATTAAACTTATACTTAATTTTTTTAAAGTTAAAAAACTTTAGTTATAAGATAAGTTAAACCATACTAAAATAAAATTTTAAATGTATTTTTATGATGTCATTTCTAAATGTTAAGCATTTAAAATGATTCTTTAGTATTTTTTGTTTAAAACGCGCATTTCGGTTTTAGGGTAAAATCAGAGTTGTTAGTCCTTGGCCTTAGCCTGGCCTTAAGGCCAAAGATTTAGGCCTTGGCCTTGGCTTTGAAACTGTTGGCCATGGTATTGAAAATTTTGGCCTTAACCTTGATTGTTTAGGCCTTGGCCTTAAAAAAAAATACATGTTTTTTATTGATTTTGTTGAATTCTGAACATAACCTTGGTCTATTTTTACAAAATGTGGTTTCATTTTCACAGCACTTGCTACTTACAGTTTTGTGAAGATTTGGGCTTAACGTATTGCAAAAATTAAAGTCTTAAGTCTTAAAAATTTTTGCGTACTATAGAGCCAATATCTTTAAGAATGACAAGCCTGGAATTGATTGGATGCGTGGTTTTGAGGAGAGATGAAAAAAAGAACTTACTTGTCGGATTGGACAATCTCTTTCTGCTAACCGTGCGTATGCATGCAATGTAAACGTAGTTGATGACTTTTTTGAAAAAATAGCAGTTTTTATTGAGAAAATTTATCTACAGAACGAGCCGCAAAATATGTTCAATGTAGACGAAACAGGATTTCAAACCGACATAGGTAAGCAAAAAATTCTCTGCAAACGCGTATTAAAGAATCTACATAAAACGGTCGGTACTTTAACTAAAAATATGTTCACAATGCAGGTATGCCGTTCTGTAACCGCTCAATTTTTATAACCATATATTGTTTATAAAGGTCTTCACCTTTACAGCACCTGGTACAATGGCGGTCCGGACAATTCACGTTACAATTGTTCTCCTTTAGGTTGGATTGAATCCCCTTAATTCATTGAATGGTTTGAAAAGATATTTATTGCCGAAACAAACCAGTTAGAAGGATTGAAGCTTCTAATATTTGAACTCAACTCTCACATATCAAAAACTGCTGTAGACACAACTCTCACATATCAAAAACTGTTGTACACCGGCATTCATTGACATGAATATTATTCATGTCATTGCATGTCAGTGTAATCCGTACTGTAAGCTCCGTACCAATGCGAGTCACAAGCTAAGATGAAATATAGGAAGTTCTGACTCCAAGAAAACAGCTAGAAGCGGTACTTTTGAAATATCTTTGACACACGCAACCTGTGAAAAGCGACGGAAAAAGAAAATGAATCAAGAAAACATTAGCGGAATGCCTGACATCTGATGAATCTTATGAAAGATAAAATGAAATGGAATCAACCTTAAGAAGCAAACCTGAAAAAAAAAACTTACTTTTTATATATTCAAGTAGACAATATCAGAACTGAATCTATTTGATTTCTTTTAAATAGTTAAGTTTTTAGCGCTGTTTTACATTTTTAAAAAGAAACTGTAGTTTGATGCAAGTATATATTTTTTGTTGAAATACCAATTATTATGCTACACTTATAAGGTACTTTCAACATTTAAAAGCATAAAACGTTTTACTGTCAAAGTTACCCGAGGTAGAGGTTAACATTGACAGGTGGCATCACATCAACAAAAATAATTATCTATCAATAATATTACACAAAAAACTAAAATTTTTAACAATTTATGGCAGCAATATTATTGGTAAACACTTAGAAATATTGGATACCAAAATTTTTTTTGTTGCATGCTAGAAAAAATTTTTCTAAAGATGTGTCAATGTTATACCACTTTATTTTACTTATTATAGAGTTTTAAATTTTACCTTTGATTATAGAAAGCTAATATTCGGAAATATTTACGAAAAATTTTTTTTTTAACGAAATTGTGCTATGTTAAAAAAAAAGTCTTTTTCAGTAAAATCGATTTTTTAAAATGATTTTACCTGGTATAATAAAAAAAAGCTGTTATTGTAACTTATTAATCCTAGCCTTCTCACTTTGTCAAGTCTTGGCGTCTTCAGACATATATTTTAAATTCTTTTTTATTCTTTTTGAATTATCAAAGGTTTTTCTGTTCAAAAGATACTAATTACAATTTATAAAAAATTGAACTGAAATGAAAATAAACTATATTCTTTATATACACATATTCAATTAACTACAAATGAATTGTAATATTTCCTATTAAATTCTGATTGGCCAGTTACATTATTCTATTAAACGTCAATGATTTTGCTCAAAATATTGAGAAAAATGATCTACTGCAAATTCTATAACTAAAATTTTTAGATAAAAATTTATTTAAAAAAAAGATAAACTATAAATAAGATAATTGTGTCGAATTGAGTTGAGGGGCGCGAAAATTGATACCACGCGATGTTATATCGTAGATGGTAACATTTTAAAAGCATCGTAGATGGCGTCTCTAAATATTTTCTGGTGCATGACAAATCCTAAAACATGTCCGCAATCAATAGTACGAATTTCAGTCTGTGGCCACACATCTTTAGGTGTAACATTATAATAATCTCTATTGATATATTTATCATGATTTGCAACAACATATATGATTGCTGAATCTTTGTGTGGTTTATTAAAGTGAGCTAAATGTGTGGCTTGATCCATAAGAGCTGTCATATAAGCAAGCGTGTTATTCGAAGGAATGGAAAATAATTCCCGGATACGTTTCAAATTGTTTAGTGAAGGGTTCAAAATTTGTTTCTGAATCGGCTCGACATATTTACGTAACGCAACTTCGTCGGGAACAATTTTTTTACTAATGCTTGAACTCAAGTCAATGGAAGAAAATACATTTGTGATTTTATTGTAAACATGATCGTATGTAGATTGTTGGTCTTTAAAATTTATTTTGTAATGTTTTTGAAGAAGTTGAGTAAATTCATCATCGTTTCTTATAAGTGATTGGTATTCGGGGTTTTGTAAAAGTTGATCCTCAAGTATTTTCCAATGAACACCTCCATAGAGAACGCCCTATATAATAAAGGATATAATAATTAAGAAGTGAACAAATTCACTGCAATTAAAAATTAAAAAAAAAAAGATAAAAAAAAGAGGATTTTAAAAATTATTTATTTTTTCAAACAAAAAATGTTTCTAGATGAAACAATCGGTTTATTATAAAATTCCACCTTGTATGCAATAACAAACTTTTATAAACTTACATTGTTATTGCATACAGTTATATTGTAATGATGGAGCTAGTGTAAAAACATCTCACTATAGTAATTTTAAATCAACATGTATACCTTTACAGAATATTTATACACTTCTATAAAATTTTGAATTGAGCAAAGAATTCCATAATAAAATTGAATTGAGCAAAGAATTCCAATGACTTGGATTTCTTTAATGCTATAAAAACTTATTTTTATAGCATTAAAGAAATCCAAGTCATTGGAAGTCTTTGCTCTATTTCATTGGAACAAGTTGATAAATTAGTGAAAAGCTAGTTAAACCTGAAGAATTGAAATAAAACAAACTCATAATGTAAGAGCAAGAGAGAAAAATTTTCTGTATTGGAAAAAAAGTCAAAAGGACAAAGATAATGACACAGCTTTCTTTATTAACCACTTTAAAAAAGTTTTCTTTGAATAAAAGAATTTAGATTATTACATGATATGTTTATGATATTATTACCCATGCATATCTTTAGAGGGCCACATATACTAAACTCTGTTATCTTTATAAAATTTCGTACGCTTGTTTCAAAAATAAACAAAAGAACATAAATTTCAATGGGGAAAAATAAAATGAGCGTATTATGTATTAAAAGGGAACCCGGCACAATCATTAACAACATTTACAGCTGCAACATTTGTGGCACTGGAAATGTAAGCATCAGACTTGCTCCAGTCACTGACAGGAATTTTCAAGAAGCTGGTGTCCAGCTGAAGCTGATTAATTGTGAACCACGAATCAACTCCAGCAAGGTCACAGAGTCGTGTTGAGCACTCTATGGACAATGGAAAACGTGGCTTTCCCCAACCATTGCCAAAGCAATCCAGTGGAGCTTCTAGGACATTCACAGGCCTGAGTTTAAGTAATGCATCTGCCAGAGCTCGTTGTTCTGACATTGGAACACATTCACTGAACAGAGCAAGTGGAATTATTTCAGCTGTGAGATACCAAAAATGACGATTAAGTGCTCAAATTGCAGACTGAGAAATATCCTTGTCAACAATTTCATACTCCAGAAGGCACTTGTACAGTTGTAGATCATTCCATGGTGAATCAACAGTCTTCATAAATGTGAGCCACCACACACCATAAACATGTATAATAAATGTGACAAAACAACACCCCTTGGTTACTTGATGACTAGTGGTAATGGTTCCTGCTCGCAGTTTTCCAATTTGCATCTCACGGTGTGCAATTTTGAGGCTGTAGATAAGCTTTGCCATCCATCGAGCCTTATGCAGAACACCAGGTCTCCAAAATTTCACTTGTTGTTAGATGCAGATAAAAACACAAGTGATAGTTCAGTGAACTCATGGTAATCATCATGCAGAAATTCGACATCTTTAGCAGCACGATCAATCATCTCAATCTTCATTTTAGTCAATAGGTCTTGCGACTGAGTGTTATGATCAGCGGGACGAAAAGGAACTATCTGAGTTGAATTATATGGTACCAGATCCCAATTGCTTCGCAACTTTGTGAAAAGTCTGACATCTGATGATTTGGATGCTTCTATTTTCAAGTCAGTAAAGACGTGAGAGAGCAGGACTTCACCAACATGATGATGACAACCTGACCATAGGAGAGCACGCTGTAGCTTATCTTGTAATGCAAGCTGCAGTCAGATGACCAGTGTTTGAACTTGTCATATTCACAACTTGATCGATACAACGCCAACCCTTCAGCAGTTTCACCATCAACTGAGCAATTATTTCTCCGACTGACATGTCCGTCGCCTTGAAATAACTTGGAACTCCAAGCTTCAGCTGTGATGCATCACTTACAACTACTGTCATATGCTTTTCAGTGATACGTGGATTGTTAAGAGTGGGAGTCAACTTTCCATCCCAATACAGAGTGAGGAGTTTAGGTGGCTGCCAGATGTTTTGAATTGTTGTCGCTATCTTACCTACAACCTTGCACCTCGCACGATTGGCAGTGGCATAAGAAGAAGCAACCATTAAAACATCACCACCAGATTCAGATATCGATCCTTGGGTGAATGCAGCTTGCTGTGTTAGTGTCATTTTAAGTCTTGTTGCCTATGACACTAGATTTGGTCGGCTTAGCAAGTTTGGAGGTATAAAGGCTATTGCTCCTGTTGGTTTTCTTTTAGATGGTGCTTTATCTGTTGATTCAGAGTCAGCTACAAAATCCATATCTACATAGGTAGACTCTTCTGATTTGTCAGCATTGCTGTCTTCTGATTCAGTCAAAACTTCTGATGATACAGGCAGTTTTAATGTTTCAATTTCATCACGAGCATACTTCAGACGCTTTGCTGTTGCAACAATGTGATCATGGCGCTTGGCTCTTTTGGGAAAGTACCTTTTCAAATGCACCAAAGCTAGCAGCTCTATCCCCTTTTATTGACTGGAGGAATGCAAGATCCTCTGGATTCTTGACAAGACTTTCAACATTAGGCGGCCAGAGCTGGAATGTTGATGGCAACATGAATTGCATACCTTCCAGTTTTTTCTATGCATTCAGTGTGTCACAATGGCTCTTTTCGATTGAACGAAGGATGTTGTTATCATCTAAGAGTTTGATTATTTTCTCACATGCTCTTCTTTCTGTAATCATCGGTATGTTGGCTTTTCCATACAGCAATGCAATTTCTTTCAGCACTATTTTTGCTGTTGTAAATCTTGATGGTGCACCACTTGGTATTGGACGTTGACTGTTTACTGCTACATTGCAGTGGTACATCATGCTTCTTAAAACTTGTAAGCAAGTTGGCAGCCGAATACCTATAATTATTCCATCATCTGAGCATATAGCAGGGCTGATCCCAAACAACATGGTAGCTCGACGAGTCTGTGGCTTTTTTTTGGAAGCTGAGAAAGGAGTTGTGTTTTGAGGACTTGGCACAACACATACAGTTTTACTAGGTGATTATGGTTCTGGAAAAAAGAGAAAAGCTTGCAAAAAACACTGTACTTTTCTAGATAATTTTAAACTACTTCAACATCACATTACCTAGGCTAGTGGACTCCAGTTTGAACACACATCAGATTTTATTAAAAATCTCCTCTGAGTTAACGAAATACCGGAGAATAAAAAAAAAAAATTCAACATTTATATTTTAAATAAAATTTAGAAATTAATTATATTGCTGACATTGGCTATGCTTTATTCTATAATATGCTATACTTTATAATTTATAATTCTATATATTAACTGAATAAACTGATAATCTTTTAAACAAAACACATAATACACATACACAGTACACATAAGCAATTTAAGTCTTTTATTTTTTTATAAAAATTACAAGTAATAGAGCAAACAGTGCAAATTGTGAATAATTCTGTAATTTACCAATCTGTAAAGACAATTGTTGATAAATCATGATTATTTATATAACTTCTGAATTATTTATATAACTTCTGAATGGCAGACTATCATAAAACAATCTTGAAAAAATTAAACATGGCTACCAAAGACTATGAATAATGTCAAAGATCCAACGGAAAAAATTTATGCGGAGCTTAATTTTAATTAACTTATGTGAAACTTGGCTGGGCTGGTGGGACCTCTAAATATTGAGCAATTTTTTTTTTTTACCACAGTGTATATTTCAACTATATACCAGACAACATAAAAATCTAAAAAAAATTTAGTGATGCACCCTAATGTGTATTAGGGTGACAATTAAAACAACTTTTTTAAAAATGTCTGCTCTCACCCTCTAATTATGTTCTATTTGATAAAATAATACTGGAATTAAAAAATTCTTAAAAAAAAATTTTTAGGGGAAGTTCAAGACTCTTAAACATAATAATTTTATAATAATATAATTATTATTTTTGATTTTTTTTTTAACTTTTGAAACCCAACATTATATACTTTTGAAAAATTTTTTTGTTGATAATATTAGGGAATCGTCTAATGTTTAAGGGTCTTGAGTTACCCTTGAAAATATTTTATTTATTTTTATTTCTTAATTCCAGTATTATTTTATCAAATAGAACATATTTAGAGGGTGAGAACAGATATTTTAAAAAAAGGTTGTTTTTATTGTCACCCTAATGTGTATAATGGGTGATTTTATTTAATTAGCTATTTTAAATTACAAAATTAAATGTCTTTTTTTAACACAAGGAGTTGTTAAAAGCCAATTTTTAACAATTGGTAAATTTAAAACCTTTACTATATATATATATATATATATATATATATATATATATATATATATATATATATATATATATATATATATATATATATATATATATATATATATATATATATATATATATATATATATATATATATATATATATATATATATATATATATATATATATAGTCTTGCATGTCTCTTGCGTAGCATCAAAAAATATTTCCCATAAACTGTAGTTTTAAAGAGCGCGTTAATAAACCAGACCAGAAAAAGTTTTAAAAATTAAATTTTTTTTTTAATTGATAGACTGCCTGGCCAAACCAAACCCTCAGTCGATGTAGCAGCACTCTCTTGCGAGTCAGGCTATTTGTCAGTCGTTGTAGCAGCACTCCCTTGCGAGTCAGGCTATTTGTCAGTCGATGTAGCAGCATTCCCTTGCGAGTCAGGCTATTTGTCAGTCGATGTAGCAGCACTCCGTTGCGAGTCAGGCTATTTGTCAGTCGATGTAGCAGCACTCCGTTGCGAGTCAGGCTATAAGATAGTCGATGTAGCAACATTTACGCATGTTTAAAAATTGTTTTTTATTAAATCAATAACAAAAACACAACTAATTAAAAAAAACTTTCTAGTCGTTATAATTGCGGTTTTTTAAAAAATTTTTAAAAAACAATTAAATTTAATGTACTTCCGCATAAATTAATTGCTTTGACATTTCGATGACAATCAAAAACAGCTTAAGAGACGAGGTAATTAAAATTGTAGTCGTAAGAGACTTTTTTTACATTAAAATGCTCTTAAAGCGACACTATATGAGTATATATATATATATATATATATATATATATATATATATATATATATATATATATATATATATATATATATATATACATATATACATATATATATATATATATATATATATATATATATATATATATATATATATATACATATATATATATATATATATATATATATATATATATATATATATATATATATATATATATATATATATATATATATATCTTTATAGTGTAGTCGAAAGAGACTTTTATGGTTAAAAAAGTCTCTTTTGACTACAATTTTTTTACCTCGTCTCTTAAGCTGCATTTTATTGTTGTCAAAATGTCAAAGCAATTAAATTAATGTAGAAGTACATTAAATTTTATTGTTTTATTAAAAAACCGCAATAATAATGACTAGAAAGTTTTTTTTAATTAGTGGTGTTTTTGTTTTTGTTTTATTAAAAAACATTTTTAAAACATGTGTAAGTGTTGCTACATCAACTATCTTATAGCCTGCTGCTACAAGGGAGTGTTGCTACATCGACTATCTTATAGCCTGACTCACAACGAAGTGCTTCTACATCGACTGACAAATAGCCTGACTCCCAAATGAGTGCTGCTACATCGACTGACAAATAGCCTGACTGTCAAGGGAGTGCTGCTACATCGACTGACAAATAGCCTGACTCGCAAGGGAGTGCTGCTACATCGACTGAGGGTTTGGTTTGGGCAGGCAGTCTATCATTTTAAAAAAAAATATATATATTTTTGAAGTTTTTTAACATTTTCTGGTCAGGCTTGATAACGCGCTCTTTAAAACAATAGTTTATGGGAAAAACTTTGTGACTACCATGCAAGACTATATATATATATATATATATATATATATATATATATATATATATATATATATATATATATATATATATATATATATATATATATATATATATATATATATATATATATATACTATAGTGTAAATAGATCAGCTAATCCTTACTAGTTTTGCTTATCTTTATAGCATTACAGCTTTTTCAGAAAAAAAAAAAAAAAGAAGAAGAATGAAAGAAAAGATTACTGCCCTATCCCAAACCCACAGTCAATGTAGTGGCATTCTGTTGCAGAAGCCGGGTATAAAAGAGTCAATGTATCATTAAATATTTTCATCATGATAAAAACATTTAATGGTAAAGTTTTTAATCATTTTATTAAAGAATGTCTACAGTAAAGGCTGATATGTTATCATTTTCAAAAAACTTTTGAATATTTTGTTCAAATACATCACAAAACTACTACTTACTTAACACTGAAGTTATTATTATTAGTAAAAAAAACAAAAAACAAAAAACAGGTACAACAAGTAGCCAAACTATTTAAAAAGTTAAAAAGCGTTAAGAGCTTTAATCATAATTGTGATAACATATTAGTTGAAAACCTTGGACCTCTTCTACTCTTGGTATAAATCAATGAATTAAACACAGTTCTCAATAATGTATATACTTACCATTTTGCTGATGACACTAATTTGCTTATAATTGAAAACTCTGCTGACAAAGTTCATAATAAAACCAATGAGACCATGTCATCAGTTCTCGACTGGCTGGGAGCTAATAAAATCTCACTTAATGTTAAAAAACCCAAATAGTAGTCTTTAAAACCAAAAGCCAAAAAATTAATAAGCAATTAAATTTTTGTATTAATGGAGAGATATCAACTTCATTACAAAATCAGTAAGGTATCTTGGAATAATGCTGGATGAATACCACCACACTTATTACAGTAAAAATTGAGTCGATCTATTGGTATGTTGGCCAAAGTAAGATATTTGGATCTCACATACAATATGCTTGCCAGATCTGGGGATAAACTAAAAATCAATCCTTAAAAAATATTTTCTCACTACAAAATAAAGCTAATAAAATCATCCACTTTCAGAATGATCGTTTCAACAATGTCTCTTTGTTATATAAATTATCACAGGTTTTAAAACTTCACGACAACATCAAACTTATGAATTGCACCTTAGTATGGGACTACTTACATGGTAAACTCCCAATTACTTTTACTTCTTTCTTCTCCCAAACCAATTCCAAACACTGCTATCTCCTTAGATCCTCATCATGTAAAAATATATTTGTTGAACACAGCCGAACAACAATTTATGGTAAAAACTCTATAAAGCATCAATGCACCAATGAGTGGAACAATCTCCCCCACTCCATAAAAAACTGAAAACCCAAATTCAAGATCTGCTTTTGAAAGTAAAATTAAACAAAGCTATCTTGACAACTATGCATAAAATAAAAGAGTATTATTACCATAGTTACCATACTCAATGTTTATACTAGATTTAATTAATATTTCTATATTTAGTATTTATTATTATATTTTTTAGTATTTGTATTAAATATTTAGCATTAGTTTTTTTTTCATTATTCTATTATCTTCTAATCCAATAATCTTTCTTATTACTCGATAATACTTCATTTGCTTCTACCATTGATTATACTATTAACTTTTATTATTTATTATTTTAATCAATTTTTATTTATTATTTTAATCATTATTTTAATCAGTTACTATTATTTTTATTATTATCTATTGTCGGTTTTATTATGTACTTATTTTTATTAGTTTTAGTAATATTATTATAAATAACTTAAATTTTTGTTCCTTGGTTGTTGTGTTTCTCTGTTGTATTATTATTATTATTATTATTGGTATTTTTGATATTTTTTTTTCTTTTCATTTTTGGGGAGTTCTTTTTGTTATTAGTTTTTTTTGTTTGTTTGTTGTTGTTTTTTTACAAAATCTTTTTTTTTCGTTTTTTAAGGTCTCTGCTTTGAATTAGTCTTGTACTATTTGCATTGTCCCTTCACAAAAAAAAAATATTGTAATATTTATACTATTTTGTAAATGATATCTATTTTTGTGAAAAATATATTGATTGATTGATTGAGAAACAGCAAAAGCTTTATTAAAGAAAGTTTAGAGACTTTAGATAAATTAAGTTTAGAAACTTTTTTGGTTTATTTTGATTGAACTGTTGCTCCGGAGGAAGCAACTACCACTGGTAGAAGAAGCAGTGCTAGGAGGCATGGCAACTAAGCCAATGTAAATTTTTTCAATAGTTTATTATTTCTTATATGAATAATGCTCTGAATCCAGAGTTTGAGTTGTGCAAAATAGCGTAAAATGTCAGTAAACCAAATTCCAAGAAAACTACTTTATGAAATTTATATATTTTTGAGATTTTTAATTTTTTAGCTAAATAATATTGAAATATTTAATTAATTTTACAGCAACACATTACAGCAAAAAGTATTACAAACATTAAACAGTCAATAATGTCTAATTAAAACTATTGAGTAAAAAATATAATTAATAAAAACGTTTTTTATGAAATACCTGTGTGTATATAGGTGCTGCAGAAGTCCAAGATAAACATGGAACAATTGCAAGGGGTTTGTTCCATCCACTTGATGCAACTGTTGCCATATGACCACCCATTGATATTCCTGTTATTCCTAAAGGTCCAAATCCATTTTTTTGGCACCACAAAAACAATGTGATTGATTCTACAAGGAGTGCACAACCCATAACAAAAATGTCAGAAACATAATTAACTGAAGAACGAACTTGATTTTTAGGTTTCCGTTGACCATAATAAGGATTTTCTAACAAGATTGAACCTATTTTATATTCATTGGCTAAAGGTATTGCCATACTTTTTTTCCTCCACCAAAAATGATGATCCCCTGTACCAGCTAAATGAATGCACATTGCTGGTTTGTTATCACCAGATGGCATAACCACTTCAAAATTAACTATTTCACTCTTTAAAGGCAATGCATGAGGTAAAAGCTTAGTTAATGGTGAAACAAATTGACCTCTAAAAATGTTAACTGATGAGTCATTTTTATCTTCAACAACTTTGAACAGTTTTATTTCTGTATTTTCTAAAATGCTGTGTATATCTCCGAGTTGATTTTTGTCTAATACTGATGCTTGAAACTTAGCTATTTTTTTCAATAACTCTATATCTCCCCATCCTTGAGAAAAGAACTTAGAAACATAATTAGTGCTCAACCTTACAATTTGATCGGCACTAATCAAATGTTTCATTTACTAAAAATATCCTAAAAAGTAAAACAATTAGTTTAAAAAAAAATTGATTTAATATAATTTATTATACTTTTTTAAAAACTACCTCATTTTACATAATCATGTAATATATATATATATATATACATATATATATATATATATATATATATATATATATATATATATATATATATATATATATATATATATATATATAATCTTTAAAAGTCATTTTCTTGTTATACGATAATAATAAAATATGTAAAACTCAATAAAAACGGCTGCCTATAAACTTTTTAAAAATATATATTTGTTTTTATTTTATTATATTTTTTCGATATTTCGCTAATCTATTGTGATCAGCGTCATCAGGTGTAATTTATTACACCTGATGAAATAATTACACCTGATGACGCTGATCACAATAGATGAGCGAAATATCGAAAAAAATATATTAAAATAAAAACAAATATATATTTTTAAAAAGTTTATACGCAGCCGTTTTTATTGAATTTTACATATATATATATATATATATATATATATATATATATATATATATATATATATATATATATATATATATAAACAACAGGATGGATGAGAGTCATCATGGTGATGACTCTCATCCACTTTAACCGTATTTTATCAATCAAATATTTTGATATAAGCTATGGGCATCATAATAAAAGTCAATGAAAAGCCTGAAGCTTCAAGAAACTGCAAGTTTTATCTAAAAGGTAACGTTGTTAAATTTCCTAATTAAAATAAAACAACCACAATCAAAATCACATTTTAAATAAGCAGGAAATATATTGTTTCAAATGTCATGCTTAAGTGCCAATAATGGTCTTGTAGCAAACTTAAATCTCTTATTAAAAAGCTTTTGTAGCAAATTAAATATCTTAGTAAAATAACATCAATTTTGAAATATTTACTATAAATACTGAAAGAAATCGTTTTCAATATTGCTTGCAATATGTTATAAAGTTTCAGAACCTCCCACAAATACTTTATCAATTTACCCCATACAGTCTAATATAAAACAGTTGTGTTATTTTTAATATCAATTTTTTTCTTTAATAAATTAGAGTTTTATAAACAGACACATTGAATAACACACTATTATTAATAGTTTAATAGTATTAAACTAAGCAAATCTAATAAAGTACTATGTTGTTAAAAAAAAACTAATTCTATTTCTTTACAGGTCTTTTGATCTAATAACTTTAATTTCTGTAGAAAATTGCTCTTGTGCTAACTGTTTTACCTAATGAAAATGTTTGTTAAATGCAGTTGTAAAAAGATGCTTTTGTAAAAAGATATCTCATGGAACTTTCTTCTACTTATAAATAATATATATATATATATATATATATATATATATATATATATATATATATATATATATATATATATATATATATATATATACATATAAAAATTTAAAAAAATGTAAATAAAATTAATACTTTAGAATACAATTTATCATAAAAGGGTTAGATTGTGTGTGTGTGTGTGTGTGTGTGTGTGTGTGTGTGTGTGTGCGTGTGCGTGTGTGTGATTTTCAAAGAGTTTGAGGCTACAACTCCTGGATATGCTTATTGCAAGAAGATCTTGCACAGATTTGGAATCATCAAGCATCTATCATCTGTAAAAACATATGCATGTAATAGTATTACAAGCATATGTTTTTACAGATGATAGATGCTTGATGATTCCAAATCTGAGCAAGATCTTTTTGCAATAAGCATATCCAGGAGTTGTAGCCTCAAACTCTTTGAAAATCAATATTACTAATA